TATTGTTATCTTCCAAATATTGTATTTCAGGCGTTCGGGCTGATGTCCAACAATACTGTACTCCTTCTGAAGATAACCTGCGATTTGAACTCAAACACCGTGGTCTTCGACTGTGTGTCAACCTTGGATCAGGTTCGTTCAAATTATCTAGCGCGTTATTAATTCTAGACTAGGAAATTTCTTGCTCTCACTTATAATATAGCAACCAGTTGGCGCCGCACGCATTGCGCGCACAACACAGATCTGCGGCGAATTTTGATGGTGCGACGAAAATTTTCAAATTTGGCTTGATACACCACGAATATCTGAATTCTCAGCTAAATTCTATCCGCTCCATCATCGACGGCTTTCAACCTCTTTTTCTTCGTCAACCATTATCCTCTTTTTCCCGGTCTCCGGACTGCTTCCGGACAATAAATCTCGTGGCAAACTCCGCCTACTTCGGTGCGTGCCCCGCCCACCAATAGCATTTGGCCCCCTTCCTTTCGCCGACCTCTACCCCTTTTCCCGGTCTCTGGGACCTCTTGGAACCAAATTACGACACTTTTGGCAAACTCCGCCCACTTAGGTGCGTGCTCCACCCACTAATAGCAGTTGACCTCTTTCCTTTGCCGACCTCTATCCACTTTTTCCCGTTCTCCAGGACTTCTTGGAGCCGAGTTATGAATTTTCGTCGCAAACTCCGCCCACTTTGGTCATGCCCCGCCCACCAATGACATTTGGCCTCCACTCCTTCACCCACCTCTATCCACCTTTTTCCCGGCCTCCGGGACTTCTTGGAGCCGAGTTATGAATTTTCGTCGCAAACTCCGCCCACTTTGGTCATGCCCCGCCCACCGATGACAGCTGGCCTCCACTCCTCCACCCACCTCCATCCACCTTTTTCCGGCCTCCGGGTATTTCTATTGCTATTTCTCCTCGAAAGGAAGTGATTGTTTTATCCAGTACTGGAGGTACGTCATGTCAGTCATAACTGGCGAAGCTGCGGCCATCCTGTTTTCACTTTTCTCAGTAGCTGTTGATTGAGCCAGTATTACTGATCCTCTACTGCACTTGATTAAAAAATTCTTGCTGTCGTTAAATTGTTTCATATAGGAAACCCGAACAGTCACCGAAAAGCAAATGATTTACTCTGCTTTCAGTATGGCCATCGTAGTGACATTCGTGGCTTATCAGTGTCGTCATCCAACAACGCGATAGTTTCTGGAGGTGGCAATGAGGTATGTCTGGATCATGTTCTTACTTGCATTCGGATTATAGAGCAATCATTTTTAAGCTGATGATATGGAACACACATTCGCTTCGACCCGTTGCTTCTCTTCAAAATGAGGCCATGCTGGACGTGACGGCAGTCGTTTTCACCCAAGGAGATGGGCATGTGGTGGCAGCAACAAAGGTTTGCAGTAATTGTGATGAAATCCTGCTAAATCCACTTTTTAGTGTTCTACTCCAGCTTCCTTGTTATTTCTGTAGGTTAGACACTTGCACCTTTTGCAGTCACAACTATAACTTATGCTAGTTTATTGATTTAAATATGTCCTCACGCAGTTCCGCCACTGACAATTCATTTTACCGTTATAATCGGCTAATGAATAGTTGGCTAGTTATATTTGTTTGAAATTCGACATTGCTCAATAATCAGCTGAAAATCTGCATCAAGTTTAGAATGATGGGGTATGAAATGAAATTAGCAATGCGAAAACAGAAATTTCTGATTCTACTCTAGAAAACGAGACCTGAGAGAATTGATTGAGGGGTAGTAAGTCCACACGACTCGTCACCACTCCCGTTATTGGCTGTTTCAATGGCTTTTAAATTCTAGGCTAATGTAGATTCCGTTCATACTCCGCCCCATTTTTCGTTCAAAAATCGTTAAGAGGGGGTTAAGGTGTTAAATAGTTGAATGAGCGCGCTCAATATCGCCCAATTTCGCATATTTGCATATTCACTTTCTCACCAGAAGTTTCCACCAAAATTATTTAAACTTGAGCAAGCTGCAACCTGGTCGTGGTCTTCAACTTCCCCAAATAACACCTCCCGTTCGAATAGTGCGAACGAGATTGGAGGATGGCCTTCCAGCAAAAGATTGCAGCTCGGTTTCGGAACGTTTCAAATCGGTTCAAAGAGTAGACGCCATTTTGGAAAAAAGGGGGGGGTTGAACGATGTTTGTGAATGGTTCGCAAACCGAGGTGGGCGACAATAACTGGAATTTTTGCCTGAACCCTCCATCTCACTGAAGCTCTTTATGGTGCTCAAAGTAGACTTCCATTTTCTTCAAAAACCACTTCCTTCTGTCGCTTCGTCTACCCATTTTCACCGGTTTTCTTTCATAGAACCGAGCTTTAATTTCCATGACGACGTATCTCACGCACAGAAAGGGACTACTATAACATTGACTGTTTTCTAACCCCTGTTTTATTTAAGCTTATTCTTGCAATCATTTTCCAGACAGGCGAACTATTTCTGTGGGATGTGGCAGGATGTGAATTGCTGGAATCTCGCAAAGGACATGAGGGTACAATTTGGAGAGTCATGCACTCTCCGGATGGCAAGGTGATGATGATTTATAACTATGAGCGGACTTTTTATATCTATTGCATCATTTTTTAGCAATTGTTATCTGTGTCATCTGACAAACGTGCGAAATTCTGGGCTTACGAGGTTGTTGCTGAAGGAACTCGGTATGCTATTTTTGGGCTGATCATTCATTCATTTCTCATTTTATTGTCAAAGGTTCATTTCTTCGGGATGAAAGTTCAGAAAACTTTCAATCATCTTCCCCTTTAGTTATCTGTGTTTCTCTTTCCTCTTTTTCTCTCTTTACATGGTTTCTACCAAGATGCATTTTCTCTCGGATACTTGATGTCTAGAGTTGAGGCAATCTTGATATCAGGCACTTATCTTGCTTGCACATGACGAAGAAAGATGCGTTTTCATTTGAGCTACCACTGCGCTTACCTTTTTGAATTATTTCGTTACAACTTAATAATGTTGCAAATTTTTAAGCAAGCGTTTAACGCTCCGTGAAAGTCGAATCCTCGAAGTTCCAGATGAGGCTCTCTGCTGTGCGTTTTCACCTGATGGCAAGGTCAGCATACCGCTCCTGAAAGTATTCCGACACTGAAAAAACCCTCAAACTTTCAGTTTGTTATTATTGGCTTGTTGGACAACACAGCAGCCGTATACTTCTTTGACACGCTGAAGTTCTTCATTTCATTATACGGCCATTCGTTACCGGTGACTTGTGTCACTGTGAGCCCTGTAAGTTTCTCTTCATTTCTTTTATTCGAGGAAATACTTACGGTGTTATAGGACAGCAAGTTAGTCGTAACAGGTTCTGCCGACAAGTCAATAAAGATCTGGGGACTGGACTTTGGAGATTGTCACAAGTCTTTCCACGCTCATGACGATGTGTTAGTTCTGAATTATTATTTTTTATAAATAATTCATAGAGGGACGGCACTGGATCCGAGGCTCAGAGCAACCTTCACGTATGTGAAGTCGACGAAAAATTTTGGCTTACTGTTCTTAGGATGGGCGGAAGTGGTGTAGTGGCAAGTGGCACGCTTACCACGCGAGCGGTCCGGGGATCAAATCCTGGGTCGTGAGTCGCCCGGGCCAACCAAGCCTTCCATCCCTCCGGGGTCGGTTAATTGGTACCAGACTTGTCTGGGAGGATAAAAAACACTGACTTGTACATCGGCTGGCCCCCGCAAGTCATTGTATAGGCCACATCGCATTCAAACGCCACTACGAATGTACAAATGGAAGTAGAATGCGTGCCGCATCCCAAAAGGGATTGATCAACGGCAAATGCTTTATCCTTTTTCCTTTTACTGTTCCTAGGACTCTGAGCAGTAAGTATTGCTGGCACGCCATGTGCTCACTGACCCCCGAATTTGATCGTGATATTTCGTCCGATAAGATCGTCAAATTCACACAACTGGCTTTCGCAAATGCAGCAGTAAAGGCTTACAGCTTTAACCAATGCCGATTGGAGATTTGGAACCGAAATTCATCTTTTTTGTAGCACAAGCCACCAGATTTGCCATATACATGGTTACAGAATCGACTCAACTTGCATGAGAACATATTGTTAAGGTGTTACTCAATTATAACAAGCTCTTGTCCACTGGTCCTACTGACAGCTAAAAATGAGGTCGTCGCCACCGCCGACAAGCTTGAGGAGCCCTGTCGTAATTGCTCTGGCCTTGAACAGTCACTTCAGTTCCCCGATCGAGTTTTTGGTGGACAGCCTCCCAGGGATCGTGGCGCTCATTGAGGAAGATTGATAATAACCTACAATTCGGAATATGTTGCTATGGTTCACGGTACCAGTTCATTGTTGTGCTTAAGGCGACCAGCTATTGGGATAGGCTGAAGTCTTTCAGAGCAGAAACACTGAACTGTTTGTGAGAGTCTGGTTGAAAATTTACGCCAAGCGCCACATCTCTCAGCTCGAGCGCGACATATTTTTGACCATGCTGACAGCCATGTTATTGCGGCAGACCCCTTTTGGAGCAAAACTGGGTGTCGATACATTGTGCTCAAAAATGTTCGTCTATTTCACTCATTGTCAGAAGAAGCAAAGTGGCTAGGAGTGGAAGATTATATCGGTTGCTATCTCCTGACGTCTTTTTGTAAGGGGCTATTGTGGAATTTGATCTTGATTCTAAGCGAGCCACCGAATACTCAGCAGAAACCTCCCGTTTATGAAGACTTCATTCCGTGCTGAATTTTTGGGAGCAGGGTGGCTTTTTTGCTCCTCTCGCAATGTTTATTTCTGTATTATTCTCGATTTCTTCTGATCCTCCGTCAGTGCATGATTTGGTGTGTTTAGTGTCTCGGCGGTAATGTTTTCTCCATCTGACGAGATGTTGGTCTGGTCTGCAGGGCGAGATGGAAAGATTAAGCAGTGGGATGCTCAGAAGATGTGTCAAGTACAGGTACATGAATTTGCACGCTTGGCCTATTTTTCCGGAAGTTCATGCATTGGCATTAAAATAGTTCTTCGTTCTGGAGAGTTCGTAAGGCTTCTCAAGATATCTCAGCAAATTTAGTGTATGAAATTGTAGGTTTTGGATCGGCACTCGGCTGAAGTTCGAGCGCTGGCTCAGTCAGATTCCGGAAACTTGTTGGTGAGCTAATTCTCTTCCTTCGTTTTTTCGTTAGCGTTACCAAAATCAAGTGTGTGCGAAGGTGCAGCTGACATCGCATATGGGCTTCGATTTTGGTGGACATCGTACATCCTGTTCAAAATATTCCACGATAAGTCGGATGTCCATGAAGGAAAATATATCTTGTCGAAAGGCAGGCGGGCCCACTAAGAGTGCGGGACGATGGGTGTTTTGCAGCGAAGAGTGTGCCCCAGCGGCGTAACAGGGCTATACCCGCGCCGCGGCACGCCCCTCCACCGTCTGGCTCTAGCCGTTTAGCAGAGAAAGCGTTTGCGTTGAAGATGGCACCATCGATGAGAGTCGCATTGATGCGCAATTTGGCGGACGAGGAAGAGGTCCTCATTTTCAGGTTCTGGGATGGCTTTTTTTCTTCGTCCCTACACTCTGACCACCTCTATCCCGATTTTAAACTCCGCCTCTGAGGCAGCGGTCACGTGGCTAAATGAATTGATGTTGGAGACTGTCGTCGTTAGTGAATAAGCGTTAGCTGAATACCTCGCAGCGCTCTTGAACGTGTTGCCCAACAGTTATCCTCTGATGACGGTAGATGCTCTATACCCAGGCCCAAACGCTGTTGAATGAACCTGTTGAGATAATGATAGCGGCAACTGTCGTGAGCCATTTTCTGACAGATTAGGGCGATGGGGAAGGCAAGAAGGGTGCCGGTCAATTCCTTCGAGCACTTCACCATGATATGCCCGCAGGGAGAAAGGGAAGGCTATTTTCTTTTTTAATGTCGTTGTTCGATAGATAATTTACATTACGTGATTTTTTGATTGCCATAGTGGAAAGTTCGCTACATTCCAAAAGATCTGTATTATGTTCGTAGTAAATAAAATAGGCTTCACACTCTAAATTGGCAGTGTCGATGCGAGGTCAACATTTAGTGCAGCCAGTTAAGTGAGGCGCCTTCATAGGCGATCATGAAGAACCGCTGGCATTACAGTGAAGAGACCAGAATTACTTGAGTTCTGCTCAGGGTCAACCATCCGTTCACACTATTCGCACGGAGGGTCGTATTCCGATTTTAGGAGGGAGCGCATTTGTGGTTAGCTGGGTGCCTATTCTTGGAGGAGTGCGAACGAGGTGTCACATGTGGAAGATGGAGGGGTCGTGGTTGCAGAAAAAAGAGGTCATTTTTTCGAGTTGTTGACAAATGTGACGAAAACTTCCACTTTGCCAAAGAATCATGGAAATGGACAAAATTAAAGGATTTTCCGCGTTTTATAGGACCTATTTACTTCATCCCCCGCATTACCCTCTCGGCGGTCATCCATTTCAGAGAGCGAAGTGTGTCGATTGGACTGGTGCGGAATCAAATGCTACAGCAACAGCCGTTATACGCGGGTGGTGGTGAGTTGGGGGAGGAGGCTGTACTGGCTCCCCCCCCCATCCTCCCGAGGTTGATAGGCTAATTGTGGTGGTGATAGAGTTGTGTCGAGAACATATCTGAGGTCATTCATATCCTTCAGTCTCCAACTTTTCGGAATAAAATTACAGGGGGAGCCATAAACATATTGTGACAGAGCGATTACTGTCCGTTCCCCCACCAATCACACAGATTAGGTGCCCATCAGTCATGCAAACATTCAAAGGAATCGTCCGCAGAAAAATCACATTCTATCTCACCCATAATTCAGTGGCCGATCGCTCGCGATCAGAACGAGAACAAAAAATTGCAGCACCTTTTACGCTTTACTGCCCCCTAACCTCTCCTTGAACACGGACCCGCTTTTTATCGTAATTTTTCCGACTGTGCATGTGACTAGAAAGCTGTCTACGGAGGTCTTCGAACCGTAGAATATTGCATAATGGCTTGATCGATTGTATCTGCTCCATACAATTTGAACAGCAGTACGGTTGCAGAGTATGACCACTGGCTTACCGACGAATCTATCATGCTAAATGGTCCAGTTGCGAACCGAGTGCTGTATAGCTGTTTTTCACATGGCAACTATCACTCATTGAAACAAGTAAATAATCCGAAAATTTAGGTCCTCTTAGGCATATTTGGTCCGGATTTTATCCCGAGAGCTTGGTAGCGGCTTCCCTACTTAGTACACCGCCTTTGGTTCAGTGAAATAGGTCGTTCCTATTAGTGTGGTTAGTCTTGAAGTAAGGCTAAAAATTGGCTTTGACCGAGTAATGGCTTGAGAATACGCGCAGCAGCTCTGCGCAGGTGCTTCGTGAAAGGCAGCAACGAATCTTCTGAGTTATCGTCAGCTTGTTCTGGCTTAGCTGCATCATCACCGTTCACAACAAAGCTGAGTGATGCGCGGAACCTTGGTTCCAGGCGGGATTAAGGAGGGAGAGGGGAAGCGGGGGAACATTATCGACATATGTACGTGCACTCAACCTTGTTTGAAAAACCAGAATAGTGAAACTCGTCCTGAGGTGGGTGCATTCATTAGAAAGGAATTGTGAAGATTCCTTTTGGGTCACAGCTCTCCTTTGAAACAGAAGCCATGTTCCGAAAAAAAGGCTTCCGGTGTACTAAGGGGGACTTCGCGGTCCAGTGCATTGAAGGCTTTCAAATCCATTTTTGCACAAGCCAAGTGGTTCATACACCCTGGATCCTCCATTCCTGCAAAGAAAGATTGCTGTGTTAGGATGAACTACTGCATTGCGATGCCACCTTCCTCTTGCACACCAGTGCCCGAAAAAATGTTCAAGTTGTAATTTTGTTCTGTTGCTAAGGTCAAGAATTTAGTTCTCTGCTTCGCATGATAGATCTCTGCGCTGTTGGGAGCTGACAGAAGAATTAATCGTGGTCGAAGAGGAGGAAGAGATGGAGAGGTTTGTCTAGACTTGACATTTGATTATTGTGTTGCTACGGGATGCTTTTCTGGCCATAGTTTTTATAATCAGAAGATGAAAGAAGTCTGTTGGTGTGAATAAAATGTGCACATTTCAACTTAGCTGATCAAGAACTGATTACAAAATGCTCAGCTCTAATGAGCCCTTTTATTGTGTGGCAGGTTATCAAACCTCTGAAGGGTTTTTGGCTAACATGCACTGAAGTGTGACTGCGGCATTGCTCACTCACATTCTTGACGCATTGGGATTATGGGTCGTCAATATCAGTGCCACCTAGCCCTTCTAGTGTGTTCCCTACATAATTTCGCTTGATCGACATCAGAGCGGGGCTTTGGTAACATGTTCCAAAATCAAGTTTACTCCAAATGTAAAGTGTTGGCAAACGGTGTAAATTCCAGAGAAAAAGTCTACGAAGCCCGTCTTATTGATGAGGAGGACGTGGTTTCCGGCGAAGCGGTTGATGCCGAAGCGGGTCTTGCCACGGTTAAAAATAGCCAAAGTATTGTTTCGGTACGAGTCATCTGTTTAATTGTGTCATTTAGTTCTACTCAATTATTGGTTGCAATTTGCTCTTTCATTTTTAGGCAGAAAACATTATCGAGGCTGTTGATATCGTGAGAAATGAGAAGGTGCAGCTCAGGGAGAACGTGGAGGTATTTCAGTCTTGTATTCATGGTTTCATTCACTTTTATTGCCGAGGCACTTCTCCTTTCAGCACAAGCCTCATCCATTATTTGCCGCCTATAATAGCAAGTCATATGATCACTTTATTGTTGATGTTATTGCGAGATGTCGTCCGAGGTAATGCCCCCTCCCTATTTTTTCCACACGAACATGATCCATATATGCACACTGGCCTTTAATTCAAATTACTTTTCAATATGAATTCGTTCAGCAATCTCGAGCGATCTTTACTAATGGTTCCACTCAGTTACGTATCGGATATTCTTTCTGCTCTATCGGAATGCGTTCAGAAACGTTATAAAGTGGAGTTTGCTGTCAGGATTGCCATATTTCTGATAAGGTATGTCCGATGTGCTCTGAATGTGAATGTTATTTGCTTTGTACCCTTATTGGGGTGTAAATGCACCCGGAATTGTTTCCCAGTCTCGCAGCAGGTTACCTTTTCAGCCTAACTTAGTTCCGTTCAATGAAAACTACATGGGCGCTTCTTTGGCACTAGCTTAACGGTGAAGAATTGTTTGTTATCGAACTCTTCAGTCACAATCTCTATAATGAACAAGCTTGAGGGTGTTATTTTAGACCGCGTAACTACATAGAATCATTCTGATAGTCCTAGGGCAGTTGCTTAAGATCACTAAGTTAGGCTGCGAAAAAAGTTCGATGGCAGTAATGTTAAACATATACCAGCAAAAGTGTTTGATGCCCCGGTTATCCCTGCATCCAACTTCCATACTCCGATGAGGTAAGCAAACCAGCCCTTTTGGCGTTTCGGCTGGGACCGTATGCTGAATGTTGGGGAGGGGATGGGGTCCCCAACGGTCGACGGTTTACTTCAACTCGGTTGGTACGATAGGAGAGTACTGACGCAAGTGGTGCAGCTGGTCCAGCAGCTCCGCCAGAAGGGCTGGTTTGCTCACCCCAGGACTAAGCCTTGGAGAGGGGACGGACCCGTCCTCTCTTTAAGGCTTAGTTCTGAGGTAAGCACCAAATTGTGGCGGTTCTAAGGACCGAGTTGAAGTGGTCCGTCCACCGTCGGGGACTCCATCCCCTCCCCAACATTCAGCATACGGTCCCAGCCGAAGCGCCAAAAGGGCTGGTTTGCTTACGTCGAACTAGATAGGCTGAAAATTTCATCACTAGTATAACAATTATGTCATAAAGAAGTTCCAAACTCAAAGTGTGAGAGTCCCGTTCTCAAACATTCAATTTCGATTTTTCCTCCTGTGAAGATGCCCTTACAAATTACTGCAACGACAGCCTGGAAAGGGAAACGATTGTCTGAAGTTTTCGTTCCGACCTCCTCGCTCTGTCATCTCTGTGCAATCACCAGTCTGAAAAAAATGATTTACGCATGAGTGCTATACTTGCTAAATTTTTTCATTCAGGATTCATCAAAACTACATAATTAACTCGGCCGAAATGCTTCCTGTGCTTGAGAAGATTTCAACCGAAATGCCTAAAGGAATAGCGGACGTTCGAGTGAGTTTATTTAACTTTGAAAGGGAATTCTCCCACGATTCCATAAAGAAGTAATAGTAATTGAGTAATTAATAATAGTAATAATACTAATTTGTCTTCTAGGATATAACTGGTTTTAATTTGGCTGCTCTCGAGCTGCTTCAATTAGAATTAGAGGAAGCACAGAATGTGAAGTTATTCGCGGATGTTTCTGAGGTCGCAAACAAACAAAAAAAGAAAAATAAGGCAAGGAAAGCAGTTATTAAGACGTGAATGTTGGTCATGTTGTACTTGTTAGATGTTGAAATTGAATTTGTTATTGTTATTTGTTGAAGATTTAATTTGTTACATGCTTGATTGTTTGACGGCGGCCGTTGCCCCATTGACTCGAGTACCCGTTGTTGTTTCTGATCAGCCTATTCGTTGGCATTTTTTCAATGTTTGCAGATGACTCATTAGACAAGCAAGGCTGTCGCTCTTGATATAGGATACGCTCGTGTTGACGTATGTATATAAAGTCCATAAAGTATATTGTTAGTGAGCAAAGTAGCCTCCACGCAGTGTTCCCATCATAGACAACGGCTATGGAAAAACGGTGACGAAGAAGTCGGCCATCAGTGGCATTGTTCAGAGGGTTTGATTGAATTGGTCTATGCGGCTGCCCCCGGACATGGGCATCCCTGGCTGCCAGCCTCACTTCCAGCTGCAAATCGATTCGTGCCTCTTTCTCAGTTTCCTTCGTATTAATCGCACATCGGGGTGATTTACTATATTCTGAGTCATTTTTCAAGGACCGTATATCGATGACTACGTTTTTCATGCGATAAGTTGGTCCGATTTTCTGAGGGTTTCGTCTTCACGACACCTATTGCACTTTTGTTTTCATCTGACGCTGGCGAATACATTCGTTTTTATATCGCTTTGATTGTTATCCACAGTTTACGTAGGCGTAAACTGTTGGATCTGTTTCAATGGTTATTGTAGTAGGCAACTTCCCATAACCCCCGCAGGGTATCTTTTGGCCCTCCGAATACATTTAATCCTATCGCGCACCAGGCAAAGTATTCTTCAAGACTGCTCGTGTAGAATAGCAACTCAGCCCTTACATGCATTTTACATATGCGATTATTCATTCAGCAGTCACTTTTCGTCGAGAAGAGTCAGAAACGTTTTCCGTAGAACGAAAGCAGCTGCACTTTTAGCAGATTAGCTTTTTACTGCAAAAGTACATGTTGGCGATTCATTCGATGTCGTATAGATTGTCTCAAGAAGAATTCGTCATAGTTAAGCCTATGCCATACTTTCAATGAAGATAAACCTCTTCAATCCTCTCCATTCCTCTAAAGGTGAATCGCGTTTTCTCCGTTCCTTACTGGAGCACGACGGAAGTTATACGACCTTAGTTAAGCTTCCGTCTAGGGGCACGTGCAAAACGGAAGTTGAACTAATCCATGATTATTCTCCCTAAAAATTCCAAGTTTTAGGTTTTTACGCAAGTCCAACTACTTTTATTTTATTATTACATGCTTCCAGCCGGATGTAGTGTGCTCTGGTGAATTGGGTTATTTTTAGTGACCTGATAATACCGAATCATTAGTACTCTACCGTTTCTGGTATGTATTTATCCATACTAAAATAACCAAGTGTAGCATTGAAATTGAAGTACATTTGAAATCTTGTCAAACGAAACGAAACTTCTCACATTTCTCTGAACCTTCTGCTGAACAAGTCTTTCATAGACACGCATCCGCCACATAATCTCCAGACTGCGCCAAACTATTGAGAGTGGAGGGAGGGTAATGCTATGTTACTTGGCGGCAAAATTGAAGTAAAAATGACAGATTTGATAGACTAGTATCCCGCCTTTATTTACACTGTGTTCGTTCTCTCCCCCCCCTATTTCTTTTTTTTCTCGCATCAGCAAACCACGTCGTAAAGGCTCCCGCTCTTCGTCGTGCAATTCTGCGTTCCTAAACCAGTGATTGGAAAACGATGGCGGTAGAAAGGCTTGAAACCTTAAAAACCCTTGTGCGCATGTCTCCTTGTTGACTCTATGAGAACAGCATCTACTGGTACCTTTTTTTAAGTGCCATATTTTTCAAGTTCGCCATCGGGCTCATCCTTTTCCAAACGCGAACATTCTTGAAGGCAATCAGTAGGGTTTGAGCAGTGAAGTCTGAGCAGTCTACAATGAGTTGCAGCTCTTTTGGCATATTTGATGTTGTCGATTTGCTTCAGCATTGGAACGGAATTTTCGGAGTAAGTAGAAGTCGCGGCTCGCCCGAAAACCCGTCGCTCATCACATTTTAATTGTAGAATTTACTCGCAACATTTGAAGAATAGGGCGGAAGTGGTGTAGTGGCAAGTGGCACGCTTACCACGCGAGCGGTCCGGGGATCAAATCCTGGGTCGTGAGTCGCCCGGGCCAACCAAGCCTTCCATCCCTCCGGGGTCGGTTAATTGGTACCAGACTTGTCTGGGAGGATAAAAACACTGACTTGTACATCGGCTGGCCCCGCAAGTCATTGTAGGGTGAAATTGTGTCGACTACGTGGTCGCAGCAGTCAACAGCAAATGTTTTATCCCCTTTTATTATTTCAAGAAATAATAACACTAGCATGCTCATTTGAGAAACAAAGCTGGCTGCGGTCTATACCAAATGACAGCTGGAGAATGAACTGTGAGACTTGAGGGCATATCGTCTGCCGGTTTTAGCTCTTCCATGGTTTCTTCCTAAAAATACGAATATGAGAAAAGGTCCTGCTATTTTGTCTCAATTACCGAATCATTACTAAAGTGCTTGCCACTATCACTCGCTCTTCTCCACAACCAGAATTTGAGAAGTGCGGCTAGCAAAAGGTCACCCAACTTTGAATCGCTTCAACTCAAATTTGCTCAAAGGCACGGTTAGCACCGGGCTGGTGCGTTATTCTGTTCGAAAATTAGACAGCAGTTACGATGAGCAACGTGAATGGGGAGAAGACACGAAAAGTACTATAGAAAAACTGGAATTCCCCTTGTGAGCTCGGCCATGCTTTGACGGGGAGACACGCTTTGGGAGAGGGAAAACGCGAGGGAGCCCGTCGTACGCGAGAGGTTGCAAATACGTATGCCGAGATTGATGACAATGACAGTGCCGACAGCGTACAAGGCAAGGTTCTGGTGCCCTTGCCATGCACTTTTGAGTCGTGGCAGTATCGCGGCTCCTGAGCTTGGGCCCCCTCTTTCTCTCTCTACAAGCGACTACCTCTTACCATTAGTACCTAATCCGGCCCGTGGCCTTGATCTCATCAGCTGCCCTGGATTTTCCATCGTTCATCTTTATTGGGATGATAAAATATGCAAGCACCACAGATGTGAATTAATCACTAATAAGTAAGATCACGCACAACTCTGG